CAAAGGAGGAGGCTGCAATGCTTGGTAAGAAATGTACGCATTATCCTGCCCATGTAATTGTAACCCCTCTGTACAGTATGTTCACAAATAAAATAAAAATAAATTATAAAAAAAAGAAATAAGTCTCATGAACTTTCTTACTCTGGTTAGCTTTGAACTATGGTTCTCAGATCTCAGCCTCCTGAGTAGCTAAGATTTCTGCCACTTGCAGATTAAACATTTTATTTAGAACCAGGCCATAGGTAATGGTCTTTATAACTGATTGTGCCATGGCCACATGCAGATAACAGATTTTACCCCTGGATACAGAAGAACACTGTCACCTGTGACCTATTCTTGCCACATATAGTGAAACTGAATTATTGTTAGAACTACAGGTGTCACTAGCAGATGGCAGGAAATACAGGAGACAGAAAAATAATGCAGATGACACCTGAAGCAACCAACCAGGAAAGTCCAAATCGTGGGACCTTCTTGGGGTTGACAAATTTAGTTTTCTCAACAATTCAGTGCCAATAAAGGGATTGAAATAGATTTCAGATATGTAACAATATAGTCCCATACAAAATCCTATTTTAGACAAGCTAACTGTAAAATTGAGATTTTTTTAGATAAAGAAACTTGAGGCAGAGCAACAAAGGTCCTGCAATATCCACCAGTTGGGATTAGCTGGCAAATTTTGACTATAGTTTGTGTTGCTGGATATTTTAAAGTTTCTTAGCCAGATGCTGGTGGCTCACAACTTTAATCCTAGCTACTCAGGAGGCTGAGATCTGAGCACCCTGGTTTGAAGTGGAGCAGAAAAGTCCATGAGATTCTTATCTCCAATTAACAAGCAAAAAGTCAGAAGCAGATCTGTGGCCCAAGTAGTAGAGTGACAGCCTTGAGAAAGCCAATTCAAACCTCAGTACCACCACTACCACCACCACACCATGCACATATGCACTCATGTAGGCATGCGCACACACATCATCTTTGCTTTAAGTGTCTTTTTGGTTGCTTCTGAGTTTCATTATAATATATGTATTTTTTCGTATTTGAAATTATCCTCATCTCCCATCTTTGCAGCAATAAGACATTGGATCTTTCCTGTGTTTATATCTGATCAGGAAATAGTTTGCTGTGTGAAGTATTTCATGCCGGCATTTTTCAAAATTTAAAATAGAAACACATACCTAAATACATTTTTCTACTATTAATCTTGTCTTTTGCTTAGTCTACCAATAAGCAAAGCTAATAATGAGTTAAAAATCAACAGTGTTCTCATTAAAAAAGGAGAATGATTATTTGACCTTTGGATCTTCAATCTCACCAAAGTAACAAGGAAGTAATCCTTGATTTTCATCACATGTGATTCTCCAAATTGTGTCCTTAAGTATGGATAAAGCAGATTATACTTCCCAGAGGGACAAAAAGCAGTAATAAGCTGTGTAGACCAAAAATAATGAAAGCTCCAGGATAAGTCAATAAAGTTGAGGATTTGAGAGTGTAGAATAGCTTCACAGTCATGATCCACAACTTCTTATGACTGGCCAGGAAGCTACAATCCATATTGAGCATATATCTAGTTTAAGGCTGTACTGTTACACAGCTAGATAATGCATAGCAAGGAAACCCAAGAGTCCTCACGCCCTTGGTTTTATTTTATTGTATTTCCTCCTTTAAAATGTGGAGAACAGTAACAGGTATAGAGATCATACAATAATACCTCAATGTTTCATAATGTATGCTTATACATAGGCACTATAAAGTGCCTAGAAATACAGTTCTATGGTTCAAACTCTGACATGAATTAAAAATAAACTGACCATGTCAAATATAATAGCTTAAACATGACATCCAAAAGCACATAAATGTGATTTCTTTTTCTGGAACACAGAAATGCTTTTGAGTCTGGAACCTGTGGATCACACCTGAAATTCTAGCTACTCAGGAGGCTGAGATTTGGAGGATATTGATTCAGACTGGGAAGAAAAGTGCTTGACTTCATCTCCAAAATAACCAGCAAAAAATGGCCTGGAGGCATGGCTTAAGTGCAGAAAGCCAGTTGATCAAGCAAGCTAAAGAAATATAAGGCCCTGAGTCAAACGTTGGTATTAGCAAAAGTATTGCTTTAAAACATGACTCAGATGGCACAAATCTCTCTAAAGAAGCAGCATAAGCTATTTGGGGAAAATCTGTTATTTCTGTTTACTACAGTTCTGTTCGTTCTAATAATGGTATGAATCAAGACATTTTAGGAAGGACTGAATAGACAGTGCATAGGAAAGGCCTACACCAAAAGGGAGAGCAATTAAAAGAACCCTTTTTAGAAGGAGGAGCCAATGACACAAGGGAAGAGGGAAGAAAGATTTTGTATAAAAAGAAGAGGTTTAGCATGACCAGAATGGAAATATTTATTACAAATATCCAGAATTGTAAACAACAAGAGGACTCCCACATGACTAACATTTGTGGATCATTAACTACAATCCATGTCTCACCATTTTGGGGTCAATAAATTAGTAATTCCTTTCCCAGCACAATTGTCTTTCTAATCCAAAATTGAGTCCAGTATGCTTTTTTCATGGTCTGGTGTAACATTGGTGTGTATGTGTGTGTATTTTAAATTCTTTATTGTTCTACTCAACATGTATAATTGAACAACTGTGAATTGTGACTTAGACCTGATTTGTATTACAAGATGGCTAGCTAGTGAGATATTAGTCTTTCTTCCCCATCTCTAATCCTTCCTCTATCCTCCCTTCCCTCTTTTATTTCCTCTATTTCTCTTTTCTTCTCTTTCTTCCCCTTTTCTTTCTTTCCTTCTCTTTCTTTTCTTTTCCTTCCTTCCTTCCTTTCTTTTCATTCTTTCCTTTCTTATTGTTGTCTTTCATATCAGTAGAAGCCAAGGGAAGGAATGAAGAAGTCTAAGTCTAGAAAGCTGATAAGAAATCAGACAGGGGGCTGGGAAGGTGGCTCAGTGGTAGAGCACGTGTCTTGCATGCCTGACGCCCTGGGTTCGATTCCTCAACACCACATAAGCAAAAAGAAAAAAGCTGGAAGTGGTGCTGTGGCTCAAGTGGTAGAGCGCTAGCCTTGAGCTGAAGAGCTGAGGGACAGCGCCCAGGCCCAGAGTTCAGGCCCCACGATCGGACCCAAAAAAAAAAAAAAAAGAAATCAGACAGGGGTTTCCATTTCCTCGCAAATGGGGCAATGCCATGCCCTCTGATGGAGGCATAAAATTCCATTGTGTATATTTACCACATTTTCTTGAGCCATTCATCTACTGAGGGGCATTGCCCCATTTGTGAGGAAATGGAAAGATTTGGAAAAAATACTATTAAGTGAAGTAAGCCAGGCCCAAAGAAACATAGGTCCTGGTTTCCCTTATTTGCAATAACTAGTATATGTCTGAGACAAGCAGAACGGTCAGATAAGTTGATGTTAGGTGAAATGAACCCCAAGATAAGTATTCAAATGTTTTTGCTTTCATGCAATTGTTTCTAACATATTTATAAGATGATTTCATTGTTGCTTTGTATGTCCATCCCCCACGGTATAACTCCTGCTTTCACTGTATTTGATGTTGGTATAATTTGTGGAGGGGAAGGAAAAAAATTGTTTAAATAGGTATACAGGTGGACCCATTGCAACAATGAGTTGTACAAGTTGTTATGTCAAAAAACGAACTTTACAACTTTGGCAGGAGGGGGGTGGCGCAGATGGGAAGGGATGGGAAGGGGAAACAAAGGAGGAGCAACAATGCTTGAGAAGAAATGTACTCATTATCTTGCCCATGTAACTGTAACCCCTCTGTATGGTATTTTCACAATTTAAAAAAAAAAAAGAAATCAGACAGAGGGCAGGGTGAATGTACCCGATATGTGTCTCCTAGCACCATGCGATATGATCTATACATTATCCAGGAGATAAAACTGCAAAAATCTGAATCTCATTCAGCCTTTGAACTCAACTTTATGTTTCTGGAAATTCAGAGACTGAGGAACAAATTGTAAAAACATGAGAAATAATTTGGTAAATTGAAAAAGGCAGAATGTACCATCTGACTTGGTCTCTTCACAAAGGCAATATTAAGAAAACAGAAAGAATCTGGGCATTAGTGGCTAATGCCTAGCTACTCTGTAGATTAAAATCTGAGGATTTGGATTTGGAGCCAGTTGAGGCAGAAAAGTCCATGAGATTCCTATTTCCAATTAACCAGCAAAAAGCCAGAAAGAGGTATAGCTCAAATGGTAGAGCAAAAAAGCTAAATGAGACCATGAGGCCCTGAGTTCAAGCCCCAGGGCCAGCATTGTGCTCATGTGTGCGTGCACACACACACACACACACACACACACATACACCACTACCATCACCACCACCACCACAGAAATAAATACAAAACTATGTTAGATTAAAAGAATATACAAACAGTAACCAAACACAAAGCATTAATCTTAATTTGAATATAGTTTTGAAAAGTTGAAATAACCGGAGAAATTCAAATATGGATAATAAAGGAAATGGGTTTGTTGGCTTTTGTTGTTGTTGTTTGTTGTTTTTGGTCGGTCGTGGAGCTTGAACTCTGGGCCTGGGCTCTGTCCCTGAGCTCTTCAGCTCAAGGCAAGTGCTCTACCACTTGCGCCCCAGTGCCCACTTCCGGCCTTTTCTGGTATGTGGTGCTGAGGAATCGAACCCAGGACCTCATATATGTGAGGCACCTGAGCCACATTCCCAGCCCTAAAGAATGATTTCTAGTTTGAAGTGTAATAATGAAATTGTGACTAGATGGGAAAATGTTCTTAACTTTTGAATAAGATATATGCTTACTTTTGAGAGATGTATACTTAAATGTCATGGTGTTTGAAGGTTTCCACTAGTTCAGAAAGACTAGCTTACAAAGATAACTCAACGCAAGTATCACAAAATGTTAAGAGGAGCTGAAGGTACAGGTGATAGTTGTACTCATTTTATACTTTATACTGAGTATTTGAACTTTTTCATATTAAAATTGTGGAAAATTTTACAAAAATAGCCCTATTTTCAAAGAAATGTGAAGTAAGAATGAAAGCCTCTATAAACGCAAAACACAATGGCAAGCTGTCTGAGATGATGTCACAGGCCAGATTGGTGGGGGTGCTGTAGAATGTGGGGCAGATGAAGCCAGATTGGTGGGGGTGCTGCAGAATGTGGGGTGGATGAGATGAGATTTGTGGTAAGACCTGTCAGAACAGTAGAATTTGTGTTCCCATAAAGGAAAGAGGGGGATGACAAAGAAATAATGTTTTCTAGCAAACTAGTAATCCTAGATTATAGGCAGGGAGTATTTTTGAAGAGGAAGTGGAATTAATGTGGAAGATTAAGATGAGGGACAGCTGCAGCACTGCTATGTCTTTATTGTGGCTTTGTTTGTCCTACTAATGTGGTCCTCCTTCGTTGGTAAGGCAGAATGGGTTCTAGGTTTAGAGACTCAAGACAGTGCCCAACATAACAATGGCTACTATCAAGTAAAGGGTAACTCCAGCAACAGAAGATGAGAAAGCCTGGCTAGACCTAGGCAGGGAAGAAGAACTGAACCAATACAATGGTTGAAGTCTGCTTTCTTGGGATTAGAAACAATTTGCACTTTTAGGTCAACAAGGCAATAAGAAAAATCACCAACTATTTAAGTAAAATATTCACAAAAAGCATCAGAAGAATTTACTGCAGAGAGAAAAACTGTTATACAAGATAATAAGAAACTATGGGCTGGGAAGGTGGCTCAGTGGTAGAGCGCTTGCCTTGCATTCATGAGGCCCTGGGTTCGATTCCTCAGCACCACATAAGCAAAAGGAAAAAAGCCGGAAGTGGCGCTGTGGCTCAGGTGGTAGAGCATTAGCCTTGAGCTGAAGAGCTGAGGAACAGTGCCCAGGTCCAGAGTTCAGGCCCCATGATCGGACCCCCCCAAAAAAAAAGATAATAAGAGACTGTAAAGTAGCTGTGATTATTTCTCCCAAATATTTCAGAGAGTTTGACATCCATGAAGGAAAATCAGTGTTCTCAGAAATCGAATATATGAATGATCCACAGACATTCAGAACACCTCACCTCAGGAAGTGGGGTAAAAAGCAGAAAATCATGACCAGAGCCATATTTATTACCAGATCATATAAATGGTTAAAGAATTAAAAGTATGAGAAAAAGAAAGTCTACAGTTTAGTAAGCATGGAGGACAGACTCGTTAATACCAAGGTCTCTATAGTAGAAATTTCAAAATGAAGACATCAGCCTATTGCTAAGCCAGAGAGAGGGAAGGGGAGTAAGACAGAGTGTATATAGGTGGGCAAGAGGGAGGGGGAGCAGAAACCCTGGACTTGACATTTATAGGGGTCATTTCTAAAGTCCAATATGAAAAGTCCAAGATAAAGAGGAAAGTGTGAGCACTTTAGGAACAAACATGAATATATAGTAATTAGAAATAATAACCTTCACTGCATTTCTCAAATCCCTTCAAAGTTCTGATGGAAAATTATTTTGAACCATAATCCCATGCTCAGCCAACCTATTATTCAAGTGTAAGGACAAAAGAAATTGTAATTTCAGAAATGAAAGTGTTCAGAAAGTTCACTACACTCAAAAAATTTTTAAGGGCTTGGAAGGTGGCTCAGTGGTAGAGCGCTTGCTTTGCATGCATGAGGCCCTGGGTTCGATTCCTCAGCACCACATAAGCAGAAAAAGCCAAAAAAGTGGTGCTATGGCTCAAGTGGTAGAGCACTAGCCTTGAGTTGAAGAGCTGAGGGGCAGCGTCCAGGCCCAGAGTTCAGGCCCCATGACCGGACCCCCCCAAAAAAAATTTTTTTAAGAGTTACTAGGAGCTGGAAAAAGTAACATGAATCTGTCTTCCCAGCCACTTGGGAAAATGGGACAGGATATTATTTCAGCTAGGGTTTTGAGACCAGCTTGGACAATGTAATAGGACCTTGTCTAAAAGAAATTCCTCTAAATAATGAGAAAAAAACTCAGAGAAAGAAGAAAACAGGATAAAAATCGGTGGTAAACCAGGTGCTGGCTCACACCTGTAAACCTAGCTACTCAGGAGGCTGAGGTATGAGGACTGTGATTCAAAGCCAGTCTGGGCAGGAAAGTCTTTGAGTCTCTGATCTCCAATTAAGTACCAAAAGCTGGAAGTGGAGCTGTGGTTCAAGTGGTAGAGTGCTAGCCTTGAGTAGAAAAGCTCAGCGACAGTGTCCAGGCCCTGAGTTTAAGCCCCAGGACTGGCATGCACATACACCAAATGAAATCATTTTCAATGAACAATGGGCAAAAGGTACTATCAGTAAGTGATTCTTAAGGATGAGAGACAAATAATATAAAAATTAATAACTTACAGCTCAAATTCTAGATGGTTTTGACACATCATGGAAGGTGAAATGGGGAAGTGAGGGACTAGAAGCTTGGTTTGAGTGGTTGAGTGCCTGCCTACCAAGCATGAGGCTCTGAGTTTAATCCCAAGCATTACTAAAACAAAAGGGGGGTGAATGAGGGAGAGGGAGAGAGTGGTGATCATCACTGATTTTAAGTGTTCCTAACAAAGTTTGAGTACGCTTACTAATGTATAACCTTCAAGGAAACAAACTCAATCAATGCGGAAAGGGAAGAAGGTGTATGAAGTTAAACACATCAGTAGCAATGATGTATTTGGATGAATTCAGCCCTTGGATTGATGGATTGATTTTTGCATTGGTACTGGGGCTTGAATTCAGGACCTGGGACCTGTCCCTTGGCTTTTTCACTCAAGGCTGGCTCTCTGCCACTTGAGCCACAGCTCCACATCTATCTTTTGTGATTAATTGGAACTAGAACTTTCCCACCTGGGAGAGCTTTAAACCATAATCCATAGATCATAGTCTCCTAAATAGTAAGCATTACAGGATGATTAGGTTTTAAAAAAAACTTTTTTACAATAGCCATGTCCAAAACAAAATACTTGAGAAAAGGATTTGAATTTATCACTGGGCAAGGGAAACTAAAATCATGGGAGGATTGGTGGGGGCAGCAGCAAACCCAATTTGACTAGACAGTCAAATTCATTACTGGTATGGGAACAAGCAGGAAAGTGGGGAAGGAGTACTCCTGACAGAAAAGGAGACAGATGATAACAGAATGGGAAGCCGACAGCACTCTGCAGGAATGGATTCCATTAGATGAGCGGGAAATCTAATCATTGAATACCCAGTAATTGAATTTTCTAGAAGCTAAGTGGATATTAATAAATACACTTTGGGTAGCAAATGATTATTTCTATGATAGTTTATTTGCCATAACTTTAGAGCAAGTCACAGTTCACAATGGGTTTTACTGGACTAAAAGGCTTTGGAATGCTATGAATAAACTATGAGTTCCACCTGCCTATATTTAAGTGAGATTATTTCAATGAACACTATATTGGAACATTAGCTGACCAGTGGTATCTTGGAATCTTTGTAATAACAAGTGTGGTGGACCAAGGGTAGCTGTACTTGTATATTTCCCCAAACTGAAATTAAAGTTTGTTCATCCCTATTGCTTAGAGAAGTTTCACACAGCCTCAGACTGCAATTCAAACCACCAAGGAGCTGAGTAGCTGTAAGAGCTCCAGGCCCTCCCACAGAGAGAGCATGACATGAAGGCCTTCTTGACATCTTTAAACCCAACTCTAGCAACAGAGACTAGTTATTTTTCCCAGGTTTCTCCTACTGAAGAGATATTCAGCTGGGCACTGCTGGCTCATGCCTGTAATTCTATCTTCTCAGGAGGCTGAGGTCTGAGGATTGCGGTTTGAAGTCAGCCAGGGCAGAAAAGTGTCCATGCAACTCTTACCTCCAATTCCTACTCAAAAAAACCCAGAAGTGGCTCTGTGGCTCAAAGTGGTAGAGTACTAATCTTGAGCAAAAGAGCTCAGAGACAGCACCCAGGACCCGAGTTCAAGCCCCATGACCAACAAAACCAAAAATGAGAAATTCAGTTACTGTAAAGACCACATTAGCAGGATTCTGAGAAATAAGCACACATGCATTTAGACCGGGTACATGCTGGAAGATGTCAGTTCTACTGTGGGACTTTTATCCTGATGACATGGCTTTTAAATGGCCTTGGAGACATGTTTCTAATGGTAACTATTTAACCACATCTTCAAAGCAGGGGTGAAAATCAGCACCGACCCTGTAACTGACACTATCAGAAAGAGCCACAGGAAGATTCGGTCGAGAACTTGAGCCACAAATTTCCAGTCTTGCACAACCTACAAAAAAGAAAAAAAATATGACTTTCATTTAAGGTGCTAGATGGCCATTTTAAACTCATTAAGGGATTTTAAAAGGCAAATATTCAGATTTGCAGCATTTTTTGACTTTTCAAATATATCCAACATGTCACTCAGAACCTAGGCTAAGATTTCATTCAGTGATTTGTTCACTATACCCCCAAGAAAATAGCTTGCAAGTTGAATATACAGACACATTCTTGTCATCACTGAAGAAGAAAATAGAAATGGTAAAATTATTTGAAAATATTTCCCAGAATAACAGAAGCCTAATTTATAAACAGATTAAAAGAAAGTATAGCTACCTGCAATGCTCCCTTATTTACACATGAAATTTATCACAAATAAGGAACTAATTTTGATGGTGTTACACACAGATCTCTTCCTACTCATATGGTATAGCTATTGAAGGTTCAGGAGGAAAAATGACCAAGGGAAGACAAGCAATCCAAGAGACTTTAGTGAGGCCAGTAGTCATGGGAGAGTAGGCTCCAGGCCTGTCAGAATGAGGTCAGAGTGGAAACAAGCCTCTGGATGAGAGTGGTCTAAAGGGAAAAAAATTGAGTTTTTTTTGTTGTTGTTGTTGTTTTGGCACAGCATTGAGACCTTTACTCAGGACCTAGGCACTGTCCTTTAGCTTTTTTCACTCACTTTTAACTTTTTTGGAGGAGGAGCCTGGGGGAGGGGTCTGGTTGTGGGGCCTGAACTCTGGGCCTGGGTGCTGTCCCTCAGCTCTTCAGCTCAAGGCTAGCGCTCTACCACTTGAGCCACAGCGCCACTTCCG